GCAGGAAGGAGACATGCGAGCAGATAAAAACCCATCTGGAACATGACATTGAGGTGGAGGTAGGGAGGGAGATGTTTGAAAAAGCAAAGGAGAAGATGAAGAGCCAGTTCCAGGATCTGATGGTGAATGACACTTCAGAACCTACTGTTGTTAATCCAGAAAGTTTGATTGACAAATTAATGGCTGGACTGGTGGTCACTGCAGAGTGCTTTTAACGCTCGCTGAAATTGTATGGACTGTGTGGGACATAGCTACTAAGATGACAGAGTGATTGTGCAAGATGCAGCTTGTTCTGCAACTTTATAAATGTGATGGTCTTTGGAAATTTCAATGACAAGATGAGGTCTTGATCAGCTTCAGCTGATTTTTTGTTTTGATTCAATTCCCTGGTTGTCCCCCAAACCAGCTTTGCCGTCTTCTTACTTAGCAAGAAAAATTATAGGTTTTTAGGTAGTAATTTCCTAGCTTGGCCCCTTCCTTTCCTGATATCTGACCTCATATGAGCTCTTCTACCTCATCTCTGGCATTCATGTCATTCTTGTGTGTTGAAACCTGATGGATTCAGGCTGTGATCACGCACGCCGAGACTCATCACAGTTATTTGAGTGAAGTTCCTTTACGCAGGCCAAAGATCTGGCATGCCGGCTTGACCACAGATGATGGACACTGAAGTGGGATGTAGACTCACCTAAGAAACTCCTCATCTGCTTTGGGTATGGAAGATCAGTTTTGATGCTTCCCCAGCAGATTTTTGGGGTATGCCCAGGTCAAAGCTGCCATCACTAGCGTTACAAACTTGGCGGTCCCAGCAGATAATAGTGCAAACTGGGAGTTCCTGGAGCTTAATGGATCTGTCATCTGACGTCTGATGCTGTTGCCCTCTGCGATAGCAGGAGCATGTCACCAAGATGCTGGAAAAGGACTTTTCCAACATGGTCAGCCTCACCTTTTGTCCGTGGGACCAACTGGTTGGGGTGCTGCCAGGTATGGTCCAACTTCTCCTCTCTGGGATTAATGAGGTGGGTGGGAGAGGGCTTGGGGACAGACCTGGGGTGCTGTGTGCCTTTTCCCACCATATATTCCTAAATAAACAGCTGGGCTCCATGACTGCTGAGGATACTTGTGTGTTCTCATCCATTTCTACTGAATACATTATCATTTTCTTCCCCTTCTACAAAAAAAGATGCCAATAACTAAGTCTGTTTCATTTTGCTCTTCTCCTTGCAGTTTTCCAGAAGGAATGCCAAGAAATCCAGATTTGCCAAAATCCCTGTGACAGCTGGACTGACCAAAAAGACCTGCAACAAGACTCTGTCTTTGCTTTTTTTTTCATCAAAAGTTTTTTTTTTTTTGCTTTTATCCTTAATTGCTTTTAACCGATCAGTTCATGGCTTTTCTGTGTTGACCATCATGTAAGTGGGTTAGATTCCGTAGCTTAAATGCAGGCTCCTAAGGACCCAAGAGGGTGTGGATCTCCTGCAAGTTCTGTGTCACATCTGCCAGCCCTTCGTGAAGGGGCTTTTCCCCATGCTGGCCTTGTTTGGTGAGCACTGGAGGTGCCTCAGCTGCTTTGTTGAATGTCTTTTAGGAAATAGGATGATAGATGATGGGTATGAGTTTAATTGCATTTATACTAACAGTTAGTTGTAGCTTGTGCATAGTTTTTATACACTTTTTGTAAAGGTAATTCCCTTTTTAGCTCGTGTATTTCAGTAGAAGCCAGCAGAGCGAGACTCAATCTACGCCTGAATCAAACCCAGGACCGTCCAATGGCAAATTTATTGTGTGGCGTATAAACAGAGAAGGCTGTCAAGATGCAAAAGTGCAGCTCTGCTGGAAATTACCTGAAATCTAATAAAATATTAACCTTTTTGGATTACACGTGACTGTTTGGTTTTGGGTTTTTTTGATGCAAAAGAAGTAACTGGACTGGTTGGTCGGGTGTTTTGTATTAAGAGGAAACCTTGGGAATACTCTACAATAATTGCCTTTATTTACTGCAGTTTCGGTTTCACCGGGGCAACGTTTGCAGATGTTTGGCCAGGTCTGAGCGGAGCATGCTTCGATGATGCTTTTGGCCTTTCTGAGAAGAAAGGCAGCTCCGCGGTCAGAGCCCTACCCCAAGCTGTTCGGACCTGGAGTGCGTTGTCTTTCCTTGTCCCAGATTTTCAGGGTGTCCTTGGTAGGTGTCCCAAAGAGAAGCCTTGGTGGCCACGGGAGGCAGCTGCCATGGACTCACATTGCACCGCGGTGGGAGGAGACCCTCAGCCGTGCGGTTGCACCCCTGGAGGTCTTTCCTCCCGATGGAAGAGGCAATGGGTGTCCTCAGGATGGTACCACGGCTGGAGAAGCCCCTGGGCGAGGAGGGCTTGCCCTTCTCCCCCGGGGGTCTTGGCATCCTCGTCCCAGGTCTAGGTCTCAGTCCCAGCCTGTTTATGGCTTCCAAAAAGTTGTGTTGTCACGTCCCGTCTGATGGCACCTGGGGGGCCGAGTGGCTCATGTCGTGACGCAGCGTGGTCACCTCTCCTGGCCCCTGTCATCCCTACGGGTGGGGAACCAGACACGAGCCAGCAGTGACCCCACCGTCCCAGTCTGCCCAGTGCTCGCCCCGTCAGAAAGGGAGCAGCGCACCCACGCGCACCCACGCGGAGGGGACAGCAGTCACCCTCCTGATCATGCCACAGGGCCAAGCCAGTCCCCCCCCCACCCCGTAAAGGTGTCGGAGGGTGCTTTGCTCTGCTCCAGGACCAGGGATGGGGTAGGGACGCAGGGTCCCGGGGGGTGGGCTACGAGCCCAAGTGGCCTGCGTTAGCCACAGGCTGCGGTGGGGAGCGGGCAGCGCCCCAAAGCCACCGAGGGACTTGCAGCGGCACCTTAAAGCCCCCTCCCCACCTTGCCCCCCCCCAGAGGCTGACCACAGCGGGTGCCCCCCACGCACGGCCCACGCCGAGGCCGAGAGCAGCGGTGGTATGGGGGTCAGCGCAGCTTAGTCCCCCCCGGTCCTCCGTGCCTCAGTTTCCCCGTTGGGTGCAGCGGGGGGGGGGGCGGACACGAGCACCTTTCCCCTTCTCCGTGGGCTGCGATCGCTCCCGCCGGCCACGGGCTGAACTGGTCGGGGACTGGGCAGCGACGGGAGGGCGGGGGGCGGCC